CCTTCAGCGTTGCAGCCCTGCCAGCCATTGGACCGCTGCGGGGGAATAATCATGTCTCAAACTTTGTTTCCATGTACTTTCCCCCCTGCTTCGAGCCCCTCTAGCTTTCACCATCTACTCCGGAGTAGACCTCCAGGGCTAGTCTTGCCTCACTAGCGATCGGCGGCCGTTCCTTCCAATTCTCCTTGTCCATCTCTGACCATCTCTAACCTGAACAAGGCGCCGCATCTTTGTCATGCCGCATGGAAGCTCGAGCATAGCACGCGCAATGCCTTTCATGCGTCGGCAGCCCGCTCCCGGCCTTGTCGTCCGCACCCAGCGTATGCGGCTGTAGATCCCTCAGCCTCATCTCACTTGCGAGGAAACAATTGCTTCCATTATGCCGCCTCGCGTCGCTGCGCCGGCCTTTCAGGTACAATTAATAGCGTGTTTCAGCGCTTGCCAATCCTACGCGAACTACCCGTCCCTGCTCTTGGCACAGGTGACGAAGCTGCAGCACCTCTGTGGAAACCGCAGTCAGAGAGGGGCATCGACTGCAAGACCGCCTCCACTACACGCGCAAAACTACCGAGCCCCTTGACCTTGCTCCTTTCCTGCAGACGCATCAAGCCACCGCCGCTGTGCGAGAGAACGTGATTGTTTCTAGCGCCCTCGACCAGCGCCATGTGGCTTTGGCTCGCCATCCACCACACCCCCTTTCTGCGAAATTGTCAAAACTCCTAAACCATCCATGAGTCTAGCATAGTCCCTCCCGCGGACGGTACCCTACTCCGGAATATATGCTCGCAATTCTCCTAGACGTCCGCTACCTGCTGGAACTTGCCATCAGACTACATAGACGCACTGTGCCTGAGTGATTCATGTCCACGCGCGCAGGCGCACTACGTCCCAACTAGGAAGTCCCATCGCCTAGACTCTCCCGCCACTTTTTATCCGTCTTTACATCAACAAGCATCATTGTACGTTAGATATATGCACCTCCAAGGTTGTAGCTGGGAATCAAACTTGAATGTGAAGCAAATGGTCCAAGACAGACAGCCTTGGAAGTTGTGACCCCCACGTGACCGGCAGCTGACGCCCTTCGAGACGAGGCGGCATGTCAATACTATGCGTGCTATCAACTGAGCACAACCTGCGTGCCTTCCTCAGCCAGTAAATGACCCCGCGATGAGCAACGTGTTGTGACTGTGCATCGTGCAACCTTGAAAATACTGAGACATGTCGTCATTATCTCCAACGTCGCTTCCTCATTGAGCGTCCATGCCTTATCTTCATATATTCCAACACTCACTTTGCTTCGCCCTGCCCGCCTCATTTCACTCGCCCAGAGAATGCTAACAGTGCAGACGGAGATGAGCGGAGATGCCAACCACTATGGTCCAGCGGCCTATCTTCGAGCGAGAGTCATAGCAACATCTCGAGCACATCCGCAGAATCTGCCGTCGCTACTGCCTTCCCACGGTAGTAACTGAGCCCCGAGCAGGCCGGCAATACAGTAAGTGCGATGATGCCCAACCGCTTGCATACTAATTTTGTTATCCACAATGTAATAGCAGCCGGCTATTATAGATACTAAATTCGCGACTACGGGACCCATATGCACGACATGCCTTGTTTCTTCGCGGATCATGACCCCACTGCGGAGTTTGTCGTCGATTGTTGGAGATAAGCCGGCTGCTATTGTCACCAATATCGTTGTGTATGACCCTACGCATCGAGCTCTACTCCGAGGTCATGAAACAGGTACTCATCCAGTACTATCCAGCACAAAAAGCGCGGCTGATGCCATTGTCTCTCGTCCTTTCCGCACTAGGACCGAAGGAAGATCAGGACCCACTATCGTTACAAGTTCCAAGTTGGTACACCCGAGCCACGAGTTCTTCAAGATACCATGGCTAGCTGCATACCGCCAACCCCGGTCCACCGTTCGTCTCAGAATCTGCAAAGCCGGCACGTGGCCGGGAAGTGGAGATGCTCGACGCAACTATGTCGTGAGCTCAAGACATGAAGGTAAGGCCGTTCTATACTCTGCTTGCCAGTTTTCGACGTTGCAAAGAGTGCGGGGTAATACCAACAATAAAGTTATCAGCGCTGTGTAGCTTTCCACTACTCCGAGACATTCACCGTCTTACACGTGCGCTACACGCGAGATGTCGGCTACTGCAACCTGGCCCCACGTCGAACTTTATTTTGACTGCATTCGGACACCGAGTCAAGATTACCACCCGCCGTATTCGCTTCTCTTCCACTTCGCCACACATATTCTGTCCTTTTTTGACAAATTGTCATTCCATTACGGCCCGTTTCCAATGCACCCGAGCCGTTGACTCCGCTTTGTGGTCCTTCACTCACGGGAAACTGTTAGGGCCCGCGACGGGATGCGAGCAACCAATCGAGCATCTTCCAAACCGGGATGACAGCAACGGCTATCGGGTACGTCAAACTACGATCGACTATGAACTCAATCGAGCTCGGTTTCATGCGAGTAGACAGACCGTCGATTATCTGTAACGTCCGCTATAGCTACGCCGCCTACGTGGCCTTCTGACACTTTCAACGTCGAGCAAAATGTGGCATGAGGCTGTAACATCTGCTACACTACCAGCCGGTCAACACTTTCTAAAGTTAGCTCTTCTAGAACAAGCCACTTACATTCTTGGAGACGTCGGACACATCTCGGCTCGACCCGCCTAGAGACCTGACATTGCAGGACTACCCCCCTCAACATACTTCTCAAACCTCAACGGTAAAACCGTTGGATTCATAACCTTTTGCGGTTGCATGCAGCCAGAACAAGGCCGAGTTCTAGATTGATGCATGAACACAGGGAGTTATCCATCTTAGGCTGCGGCTGCGGATGCAATGTCGAAACCCTCCGCGCAGTGCGGTCAAATCTGCTGCTACCAGGATCTGCTTACATCACTAGATGCGTACATCACGCTCTTCAGATTACTAAAAGATGTAAGAGATGCGCTACAGATTATACGTACACGTCGGAACCATGAATGCGACGACGACCTAGCATCACCGGCACCTTGACGATCGAAACCAACTTCAACATGCATACAACATCAGACCACCATATCGACAATGAACCAAATCCTTGCTTGCTATGAATACTACGTTTTCACCACCTGAATTGTCAGACATCGTTCAGGCCTGCCATCAGCACGAGCACGGACACACCACACCATCCGCTTAAACTCCCGTCAACCATCTCCATCCACCAACCTACGACCAAAAAAATCTCACATACCGTACCCACCTACTCCAATCTCCAAATCTCCAAACCCTTTCTCCTTTAGCTTGCCTTTCGCAACCGCGTTCTCATGTCTGACCGTTTTTTTCCTGCTCCCCGTCGATCCAACGTTGGTTCCTGCCCAAAATGCATGCAAGCCAACGAACGAGTCATGCAACTGCATCTCGCGTCTGCAGCCCGCTGAACGTGATCACACCGCTGCGTTCCCCGCACAGCCGCAGTAGACTCGGTGCGAAGAGTATGATTACAGTAAGGTGTTGACATTTTTATGCGAACTAATTCCTTTGCCGCGAGGTGCATGAAACATGTATAATTGATCGGTTATTGCACAACGGTTTTTATGTATTGTAGATCCGGGGTACTTGATCGAAGGGGACGACGATCGGAGAATATGGAAGTGGTTTTGGGATGATGGAAAGTGTAGGTTTGGATTGTATTGTTGGTACGTTATTCTATGAGACGTTACTACTCTGCGTAGTTTGCGCACGCGATAAATAGAGAGCTGGAGTGTAAGGTGATACAGTAGGCACGGTTTATCTAGGCAGAGGCTACCACCATACATCGTGAAGGTCCCAATACACCACAAGAGAAGAGTCTGTGGAGTAAACATACTATATTCATTGTGACAATGTAAGTCAGGCAATCTGTCCGTGGTCTAGTCCAACTTCTATGCACTATCCACTCAATAGTCCCTCGCAAACCAGAGCAAATTGGAAACTAGAAGACATCTATACCTTTGTGGTAAGAGCATTTTGCTTGGTTTTATGCTGATAAAGCGCATCTACATCTAGCTGTAACTGCTTTACATAGGTGTAAGAGATAGCTAAAAACATCTTCTCAAAGTGGAGACCGCAGTGTGCAAGGGCCTAGTATAGTTTTTCCAAATTGTTGCAAGGTATATAGTCTTCATCGACAGTATGTCTAGATAGACACAATTTGATACTAGAGCACAACTATCAATTCTGATCAAGTTAATTAAAAGACCCTAGCACAAGTAGTAAGTACCAATAATTTAACTAAATATCTCGAATCGACCAAGAAGCTTTCACATTCCTTTCACTCTGCTAACCCACCCATTTCGATCTTATGCGATCATGTATTCCCCATAACAGGGTTACAGCACCTTGTATAATAATAAAAACTAAACACATATTTTCTAGAAGTCTACATTGCTGTAGATCACATGTAAAGTTTAACCTTTGTTCTAATGTAGACAGCAGAGCACCTGTTCGATTTTTTCCTTGTATAACGTGACAGGACCGAGATCGGTAATCTGCGCTCTAGAGCACTGAGGAAGTAAATCTATGTGCCCAGCAAAACGAATGCTTTCGATGAACTTAGTAATTTACATCACCCCCAGGAAGAAGTTGTCTGCCGTGTATTTCAGGAGGAGAGAACGGAATTCTTTGAAGAGTTCTCTATCCGTAGTCCTGCCAAAGGAATAATATCTCCACTGATTCTCACAGAAGCAAACGTATGAATACCGCGTGGTCTTGGGAAGTGCTCGACTGATGCTCATAATACAATACTCGGAGGTGAGGTTTGTGAAGCGGACGTCTCCATAGCGCTCTTCGAAGTTATTGAGAAACTGGCGAACCGCGGTAGGATCTTCCAGCTCCAGAAAGCTGATCCAAGCACGAGCCCGATCCGACGCAATGTCGTCTGGTAAATTCGTCTCATAGCTCCTTTTAATGGCCTTTATCGCAGAGGCGGGTGACTTGGGCCTTTTCAGCTCCTTCCATCACTGGGGTTCAACAGCCGCGTGTAGGAGGGCTAAAGCTGAGCGAGAGGCGTGATCATAGTCTTTCCATTTCTGTAGCTGGAATTGGTAGACGGCGAGCTGGTACTGCCAGTCCACTAGAGGAGTCTCTTGTACCACATCATCATCATCTTGTTGGAGTGCGGAAAAGGCGGGCGCCACTGGCTTTGCGACTACCTCAGCTCTTCCCTTAAAGTGCTCTCTGTAGCCGTAGATGTTCGCGATGTCTTTGAAACGCTGGAACCAGTCGGTGAAGTTCTCGGGCCCGGAGAGCTTCTTGAAGTCGGGGCCTAGGGCGATGGTGGGATCGTTGATGGCGGCCATATTTGGCTGGTTGAGTGCGGCGATGGGTGTGTGGAGTGTGACAAGAGCAGGGTTGCGGGCTAATAGCTTGCCATGAGATAAGAGTGAATGACTTCATCTGATGACTGTGAGCATGGTGGTGGTTAGTGGCGCGAATATGACGCGTGTTCTGACTGTGCATGGTATGAGTGAAGGATTAAACGACCAATCGCACCATACTGGAACAGAGATGATGCTCTCGTACAACGCTCATGCATGAGCTTCGGGATGCACTTTCTTTAGAACATGAAGGAACTTTCACACATGGCAGACAGAGACGTAATGTAGGTAGATCATATGTATTTCAGAACATAAGGAGAAAGTGGTATTATCCTAACAAAACAACAAATTACAAGCAGACATACACAAGAGCCATCTGCCCATCTGCCTAGCGCAATAGAAGAAAAAAACAGCCACCTTGGAGAATACAATCCTCCCAGAAAGCGTTTTTTCTCCCCACTGCTGATCCTTAGGCTCTGATACCCACATACTGGAGTTGCTTCCATCCATCCATCTTTGTTCGGGTATGATCCACAACGACGACAACAACTCTTCTCATTGAAACATAAGGAATGACCCAAAGTACACAAGGGGGGTCGTCGGACAAGGGGGTGTTCTCAAGGAGAGTAACGAAGTGCAAAGCAAGAAAATAGGGTCCCTAGCCGTTCAACGCCGGGGGTAGGTAACATGGTAAGGAAAAGGGCATCAATGCTAATCTCGTTTCGATCGCTAATGATAAAAACAAAGTAGAGGAAGAATGGCGGCAAGCCGCGGCGACGACTAGCTTATCGCATGTTGTGGCGTACAGCGGTGTTGGGTCGCTGCAGTGGTTGCGCGTACTTGGACACGGGAACCATGTGGGCATCGAGATCGTTGTTACCGTCTACGTCGTCATCGTCTTCGATGATGCGGGTTGGTACGACAGGGATGTCGTGCGATCGGTGCTGTAGGCTCGTCCGGTCCGGTGTTGTGCTGGCACTGGCCATGGACATGGAGGTGCTGGACCGATGGCTTAGATCGGGCGTTGGGGGGATGCTTGAACCCCGGTTGGGGCGGAGCATGTTGTCCTCGTCGCCGTACTCGCTGCCAATAGTCGATTGCGCGCGGCCTCCGGCCGATGACATCTGACCAACGCTGCTGCGGCGGTCGCTGTGGTTGTCGCCATCTTCTGTGTCAGCACGCTGTGCGAGCTGAAGACCCTCAACAGCTGCAGCGCACTGCTCTGAGATGTTGCGGATGATGTAGGCGATGGCGTCGGTCTTGTCCCGAAGGACACGGTCGGCGACGTCGACCATTGATTGATTTGAGAAGCGCTTGGAGTTGCGTGCGGGGTTGTTGAATAGACGCTGCTCCATGTCGGGTGTAACGTCCTCACCGTCGAGGTGCTTGCCCTGCGCAGTGCTGGCTCTTGACTCCTGGCGGCTCTCAACACCGGCTACGCCGCGGATGGTACCGACCTCAGACTTGTCCTTGATCGAGTGACGGGGGGTTTGATGGCGCGACGCCGCGTCTTCAAACTCCTCCTGGTCCTCATCCTCCTCAGGCACGTCTTCGAAGCCGGCATCCATATAGTTGGACATGTCATCCTGGTTAAGGGACTTGACGATGTGCTCCATGTGGTGGGTCTGACCCTCGATAAGAGCACGAAGGTGGAGCACAACCCGTTGCGCTTCGTCGCGCTGGCGCTGGATGGCACCGTTGGTATGTTGCAGAGCACCAAGCTCCTTCTTGTTCTTCTTCCTCTCGCGCTCGAGCTCCTCAGCAATCTCTTGCTGTAGTACAAGCGCTTCGAGGGCGTCGTCACGTTGCTTCTCAGTACCGGACAGACGGACAGTGAGCCTTGCGGCATCATCCTTCTGTTGGTCGATAAGGCTTGTAAGACGACGGTTCTCACGCTTGTGGTTCTCGATCTTGACCTTGAGATCCTGGGTCTCCTTGGTGAGTTGCTCGGCGAAAGCCTGGAACTTGAGGAACTGTTGTTTCCAGCTCTCAAGCTCCTCGACCAAGAAGTTGTTGCGCTTTGTAACCTTGCCAAGCTCGCTGTCGAGGCGCTGCTTGAGGTTGATGAAGTCTGTCCAGGCTTCTTGTGCGTCACGGGAGTACTGGTTGCGCTCGCGAACGATCTCGTTGAGGTGGCGCATCGACACCTTGGTCATCAGCGGCTTCTTGACAGAGCCACCGAAGATAGCCTTAACGCCAGTGTTGCGACCCTGCGGTGATGTTAGCGTGTGGTACGATGAGTCTATGCGCAACCGGATACATACCAATTTCTCACACACGTGGTCCATGACCGACATGACAGCATCCTGGGTCCACCAGTCGGGGTCCTGGATGCTCTCAACCTCACCACGCATCACAATGATTTGACCCGCGGGGATGAGCTTGCCGCCACCGTACGCCGAGCGCAGATGCTGTGGAACTCCGGTTGGTGAAACCTCACCGTTGAGAGCCTGAGTCAGACGCTGGATCATCTTGGTCCTCTGGCCGGCGGTAAGAGCGGTAGGCGGGCTTGAAGTCAGAACGAAGTTCCGGTCCAAGTCGACGACAAGGGCATCTGTGGGAGCCGTGAAGAGCGATCGGCACTCTGATGTTACACCCAGAATGTATGGGCCCGGCTCCTGCACGAGATCCTTGACGTGACGCGCATGAACGACGGGTACATACAGACCGCTCCACTCGTACACCCTGACACAGAAACGGACTGTCTCGGCTGCGATGGTGAGCATCGCCGGGTAGTGACTGGTGAAGATGATTCGTCGTGTGGGCGATACAGCAGCCTCTATCACACCCACAATGTTGGGAATTGAGAGACACGTGAAGAGGGGCCACATGGCGAAGTTTTGGAATCCGGTAGGCGATGATGGGAACTGGTAGCACAGCGCGTAATCCTTCATGTCGATGCGGACCAGGTCGTTGAGGCGAGGAGCTGGGAAGCTGAGGATGCGCGAAACCTCCTCGGCATGGAAAAGGTTGGTAGCCTTATTCCAGTGAATCCACATGCCGCGAAGGTAGTCGCCGAGTAGGTTGTACAAGGGGTATCGGGAGAGGAAGCTCAGGCAGTACGGGATCCAGTAGGTCTCATCTGGGTTGTCGAAGAAGTCGGGCTCGATTCGCTTGCGCAGGTCGCGAATAGTCTCAGCGCGCTTCTCATCAGCGCGAGACCAGACGCGCAGTGCGATACCGTAAAGAGTGTGTGAGGAATCTTGCTGCAGGACGAAGGAGTGGTGTACGCAGTGCGGCTGGCTCCTGCCAGTGCAGATCTCGACGTCGTGGGGGAAACATGCCTGTGTGCGTGGTTAGTAGCGCGCCAACAATGACATTGTTGTATAGACGTACTCGCATGGCAGCATGAAGAGACCTCGCGATCTCGTTATCCTGCTCCAGTCTTGGACTGCTTCCCAGAATCTCAGGAAGCCAGAAGGTACCAACAGCACCCTTCATGTGGCCAATCTTGCCCTGAGAGGGCGCAGGCGCCTTCACCCATTGTGATGGCTCGCGACCAACACCACACACCATGTAGGCATGGGTCAGGGTCTTGGGGCTCCGCGCGCCCTGCTTGACGTTCAGAGTCGATGGAAGCGGTTGGGTGATCCTCGAATGAAGCGACGATGTCCGGCTCGGGATGATGAGGCTGTGGTCGGCATTGTCTCTCGTGGGAGGACGCTCGCTGGCGCCTGTACGCGGTCGCAAACTTAAAGAAGGTGCCATGTTGGCGGATTCGATGTCGGTCCTATCGAGATGGCCGTTGCGGTATGGGTGTAGAGAACGGCAGGCGGATGAATCCAGCAATTATTATGACAGCTATAACTGTGAGAACATGAGGCGATGCGTGAAAGGTATCCGAAAGGCAACCCGCGAGAACAAGAGAGAGCGGACCGTGAGTACTATACGCACTCCGTCAATTGAGAGCTCCGAGGTCACCTTGCTGCGGGCAGTAGAGGAGGGTAGCAGCAAGGGGGAATCATGGCTTTTGGGGAGCTCTGCCGCAGCGCGCGGACTGGATGCTGGGGGTTGAACGACCCGAAGACTAGCATGGGTGGCTTTCACAAGTTTCGGTTCGAGGAAATGAGAAGCATATCCCTGCCCATTTGCAGGGTCCGTCTCGGAGCACGGTGCACGGCGCTGTCAGGGGCACTTTTCTTGAATAACGGCTCGCCCAACTTCCTCGAGCGGGCGCGACGGCAGCAAGGGCCGCAATCAAAGATACGGCTTATACACAGTACATTGTTATGTCGCCTCGCTCTTTGCACTGTTGCAACGTTTTCCTGCAGCCACGTCCAGCAACCGGAGCTCTGGTACCACGACTCGGTCACCGAGAGTCCGCAGCGGCCTCAGCAGAGAATCCCCGCTGGTGGCAATAGCGCCATACGGACTGGCCTTATGCTGAATACCGCATTGGGTTGGATTCGAATCATTCGCACGCCTTGTGCACGATGAGCACGTCTGCAGCGTGCATCCTCGCATCAGCATGCATGAGCAGAGTTCCCGCACTTGCAGCTCGGACGGACCGCGAATGGAAGTGCTTAGAAATTGGCGAGGCAAACCCCTGACGGCTGTTGGCTATCGGTGGCTGCCCAGCAGGCGGTACATGAAGATCGCTCTTAGGCCCGCCGCCAGGCACGTTTGATCCTGCGTGGGAGTGCGAGGCCTTTCTGCAGAAGGTCCAAGACGCGCCGTCGAGCTGTCGACCAGATTCTTCGATCGGCTCCACAGTCCGGTAAAGGTGGTGGCCACGTACAGTAGCCTCGCGTGTCGTGGACCCTCTAGAACCAGACTTCTGAGCTGTCCGTTGAGAATTGCGGAGAGCTGGAATTGGTGAGGCTGAAACACCGGGCACTCAAGCTGCCTGGCAAATCGGGCGCCTTCGCCCAGGTTCGGTCAAGCTGACATGGACAAGACGTGTTGCAGCCGGACAGAGCGAGAACGACTCGATTGCCTCTCAACAGCTGTAGACGAGCGCAAGCGCATAATCGGCGCAGTCG